CTCCGCCCGTGGGTCAGGCTCCCCCTGCAGCGCTCCTGCTCCATCTCTCCGTCTGTGGGGCAGGCTCACTCCGCGGTCCTGCTCCGTCTCTCCGTCCGTGGGGCAGGCTCACCCCGCGGCCCTCCTGCCCCCTCTCTCCGTCCGTGTGTGTGCAGCTCTCCTGCTCCATCTCTCCGTCCGTGGGGCAGGCTCACTCCGCGGCCCTCCTTCGTCTCTCCGTCCGTGGGGCAGGCTCACCCCACGGCCCTCCTGCTCCGTTTCTCCGTGGGGATCTGGGTGCTCATGCACATGTGCCCAGTGTGTGTCTCAGGCCGTGCTCACAGACTGCATGGCCGTCCCCCAGGACCCAGCCACCTTAACCACCAGACCCGACTGGCCCCGCGCACTGCAGGTCTAGGTCAGGGTCGGGCAGCCCTGGCTGCGGCATTTGTGCTAATGTGGTCCGGGAAACGGGCAGCACTTGTAAGGGCGAGGAAGCGCAAGAGCAGTGCGCACGCAGTGTATTTGGCAGTAGGAAGCCTGGTTCCTTTCTACCCATTTGTAAGTAAAAATGCGCTCCTGCTTTAAATATTCTAGTCAGCCGTTCCAGAGAGGGGTGTCCCGAGGCAGCAGCCAGTGGGACCACGTGTCCCTGAGCACAGTGCGCCCCGGGGCCCTCCCACTCAGGACGTGTGCAGACGGACAGTGACCCTGCCGGCATATCAGCCCCAGGCTGCTCGGGGCTAACCGAGTGTGTGGGGGGTTGCGGGGTACCCCACTGCTGCCCTGTCTCTTCAGGCGATGCGTCCAAGGAAGACATCGACACGGCCATGAAGCTGGGGGCTGGGTACCCCATGGGCCCGTTCGAGCTGGTTGATTACGTCGGGCTGGACACCACGAAGTTCATCCTGGACGGTAGGGGCTGGCGGCCTCGAGGCCCCTCTTTCATTGCGCTGAGGTGGCCTCTTTAAAAAGGATGGCTCTCGGCCTTAGGGCTAAGAGCAGGGGTGAAGCGGACAGGTCCTCCCAGGGTCCTCGCAACGAGCCCGTCAGTGCTCCTCCACCATGAGCACCAGTGGGCCATGCGGGGAGGGCGACTGCCCGTGTCTCTGAGCAGGGTCATCTTTAGTTTTTCTTTTAGCTTTTTCTTTGTTTTTTAGTTTTTTTGCTATAGGGTGCATGCGCTCAACAGAGACTGAGAGAGGGAAAGTGAAAAATCGCCCCTGGGGAGATGACCACACTGCAGTCCCCTGTCCTTCATTCCCCTCCTGGGATGTGGGGCGAATATGTGCACACACACACACACACACACACACACACACACACACGCCCAGCTTGATTTCCAGGCCACTGGGTCTGGGACTCAGGCCTCGTTTGGCTTTGGGGGAGCCCAGTGCCTTAACCACCGCACCACCCGCTGGTGCCTGACTTTTGTGCTGAAATACTCTGGACTCCCAGGAAGCTGCAGACACAGCACGGCAGCGCCCGTGCCTGCCCCGTGTCCCCGGTGCTGCTCCTTACGCAGCAGTGGGGCAGGCACACGCGCCGCCTCGGGCCCCGGGACTCACCGCTGCATGACAGCCTACCGCTGTGGTAGTCTCTGAGGACAGGGTGAAGGTGTGACTAAGACCGGGTGGGACAGCTCAGTGCTCCCAGGTTCACAAACGAGGGTTCTAGTCAGAGCATGGGATTTTGAGTTGTGTGAGGATACAGAATACCTACCAGGAGTTCAGATTTTCAGTACATATCCTGCAGGAGCGCTGTCGTGGAGGGTCAGTCAGCAGGCTAGTGGGTTCTTATGTTGGCCCTCACGATTTCAGGACGATGTTGGCAACACGGAGGGCCTGGGTAGACCCGGCGTGGGCAGCCTGGGAGTGGTGGCCCATGCAGCTCCGTGGCACCTCCTCCCTGGTATCTGAATGGCTCCCTGCCAGGGCCTCTCGCTCACCAGAGTAGGCCCCGTCCCTGGGCTGTGCTTCCAGCCAGGTCCCCGGGATGCCACAGCGAGAGCAACCTCTGCTCTGTCCTGCAGGGTGGCATGAGATGGACATGCAGAACCCCTTGTTTCAGCCCAGCCCCTCCCTCAACAAGCTGGTGGCAGAGAAGAAGCTCGGGAAGAAGACTGGAGAAGGCTTCTACAAGTACAAGTGACGGCCCCTGGCTGGGCAGGACCCTCGGGAGCGGGGTCAGCTGGCGCCCCGAGGGCCGCAGGTGTGTTCTTCAGCCGGGCGCCCCTTCGGTGGCGCAGTCTGTTCGCAGAGCATCCTGAGTGAGAGCCAGCTGACGCCGTTTGTACGCCAGTTCCAGGGGGACTGGTTCCGCGGTTGAGAGCTAACTGCCTCTTTTAGTCTGCCCAGATCCGTGTATTTTCTAAGAAGCTTTACGCCCTCGGTGCCTTGGGGCAAGCACTTCTGCTGAGCCTCGTCAGTTCTGCAGTTGCCTAAAATCGTCCCCGCACAGCGGGGCGGTTCCTCTGAGGTCGGAGTGTGAGCACGTCGCCCGTTCCCACCTCACAGACGAGCCACTGGCCATCGCACGTCCGAGGCACTGCCGAGCCCTGTCTGGGGGACCCCTGTCTGGGGGACCCCTGCGCTCCCGCAGCCCCGGCCTGTCCCAGTGTCCGGCTATGGCCCGGGACGCCGTCTTTGTTCCCCTCAGCCTGGAGAGGCCGCTGCAGGCCCGGGAGTCTCAGCACGCGTCTGCAGGCAGAGGTCTGCCAGGGCCGTTCAGACCCACAAGCCCTCCTGGTTACCGTCTCTCTTGTTTTTCTAATGGGAAATCAGATAACTGCCTATAAGATTGATTTTAATAAAATGCAGTATTTTAATCTGTGGACATTTGACTTGAAATAAAAGTGTAATTTAAATCGTAGTTTGCGGAAATGACTGGGCGTGAGAGCTGTGATCCAGGCAGAAGCTGCGCTGCATCATTGGCCTGTGGCCATTTTCTTTTTTCATTTGCTTTAGGGCACATGTGCTTGCTGGAGCAACAGCGAGAGAGGGAACACGAGAAGTCACCCCCAGGCCACAGCCCCTTCGTCACCCTCCTCCCAGGATTCTGGGCGTGCACACCACATGCACTGGTGTGTCTTTTAAGCTGCCGGGTCCGGGACTTGATTATGTAACTGGCCATGTGCCTTAACCACCATGCCACCGGCTGGCCCGTCGTCTTAAAGTGGCAGTGCCGGAAGGCACAGGTTAGTTGTCGGTAAAACCTGCCCGCACCTGTCGCCTCCAGCGGGTACTGAAGGCACACGGAGCCGCTTGTTCTTGCCAACAAAGTGAAATCGTGGGACGTAAGCTTCTCCCGGCGTTGGCTTGAGAAAGCGTCTTTCAGGATGGAATGTGGGGCGGAAGACGGCCTCCCGGAGGTTCGGTGGCTTCATTAGCAGAGCACACAGGTGATGTGCCCAAGGTCACCAGATCTGTTGTCGCAGAGCCTGGGTCAGAACTACGTTATGGTGACAGAATTCTGTGTAAAATAGAAAAGTGGAAACACATCTAAGCCTTCAGACAGAACTGCAGCCGAAGGGGTCTCCTTGGCCGGTGCCCTGGGTCATGGTCCCAGTGGTTGGTTTTGTCTTCATATTACGATTGATAAACAGGATTCACTAATTTTAAAATTTTGAACCTGACTATTGGGTTGTCGGAAAAGTCATGATGCATTTTTGCACCGAAAAATGGGAAAAATTACGTCGTGGCTTCCGACGCCCCGGCTAGGCACACTGAGAATGAGCGACCGCACGTCCCACCACACAGCCTGCTCTGGGAGACTTGCTCTCGCCAACGTGCCTAACGGACAAGAGGAAGCACCTGCCAGCCCGTCTCACCCCTCCAAGTTACCCTGCCTGGCTGGCTGTGACCTGTGACGTGAGCCCGGGCTGCGTGGGGGAGGGGGCCCACTTCCTCACTAACCAGGGGCCCCTGGGCTGCACACAGCAGGGCTCGTCCTTGACCACAGAGTTCCAAGAAAGCCCGACCACGAGGGTGAGCTCCCTGCTGGGTCGGAGCTGGGGCCATGGCCGTCCAGGGTGCTCTGTTGGCCCGTGGGATGGTCAGGCTGGCCTCTGAGCAGCCTGTTGGCATCTCCCCACTGAGAGGGTCCCACACGGACCTCATGGGCTGGTGGAGGAAGAGCCCTCCGCAGGACAGTGGTGCAGGCTTCGTGGTACCTGCCTGGGACCCCCCACCCCCGGTGCACTCTGGGGAGCTGTGGCGATGGAGTGGAGCTGTTCTCCAGGGTTCTTCCAGGCCGCTTCCATGGCCCAGGGGCTAGGGAGGGTCGAGTGGCAGGCTGGAGGGATGGAGAAGGGATGGCGGCCTGACCACATACCCGATGCCACCAGAACCAGGGAGAGATTTTTGAACAGCTTTCTCTCCTTAGAGGTGATGGAGGCTGAGGCTTTCTGGGTCTCTGCCTCCTCAGGGAGAGTGGCTGCTACCCTGGAGAGCACAGGCCCAGAGAGGAAGGTCTCACCGCCAGGCCCTCGGCCACGCTCAGTCTGCAGACAAGAGCCCACCGAGCCCTCCGCGGGCTTCCGCGGCCCAGGCAGGGGTGTGGGGGGCGGCCCCGCTGCCCAGCGCTGTCCCTGGCCTGCAGTGGGAGCGAGCGCTGGTGAGGCGGCGAACCACAGCGTGCAACACGATGGTGAAGGGCACGGTGCGCCTCGCAGAGCCGCCAGGGGCCTCGGTTCCCCAAGCGCAGCTCCGAAGTTTCCCTGTGACAGTCCGGGAGCCCTCCGCGCCTCTACGACGCACTCTTAGTTCCTTGAGGAAAAACGGTGATTAAAAAAAGTTTATTGGGACCAGCAGTTAGCGAAATGGCTATGTCGCTGGACTCCCACGTAGTCGACCGCGGTTCGATCCCAGACCTGGCGGCTTAATCTCATGCCGGGCGCGTGTGTGTGCATGCCCAAGATCCCGGGAAGAGAATGGAGAAGGGATTGCGGCGTGGCCATCCCCCCTGGGGTGTGATTTCTCACTTTCTGTCTCTCTCTCTTTCTGGTGAGCGCATGCACTCTATAGCAAAAAACTCAAAAAAAAAAAAACCAGCTTGATTTCTTCCATGAGTGAGACAAGCAGGCATGCCCAGAGGGTCCTCACATTCCCACGCACCCCGTCTCCAGCCGGCCGTGGTCATGGGTGCATTCATGCCAAGGCGTGTTTGGGGAGGTCTGGGGCGCGAACCTGGAGCCGTTCCACACGGTCAGTCTCAGGGCATCGCATTACCGCCATCACACAGCCCAGACTTCCCACGTCAACTGCACCGCATAGGGCGGCGGGGCCAGGGCAGAGAGCTGAGGCCTGAGGCCTGGCGGCATAGAAGGCGGAGCTCAAAGGTTTCTCCGGGGCACTGTCCTCCGGCCACACCGCAGGGGCCGGCTGTCCTGCCCCAGAACTGCCGCCTGCCCACAGTAGGACCAGGCAAAATGGGCAGGATGGAGCCCGAGCCACGGCGTTGTCGCTCCAGAAGATACAGAAAGCTGGGAGCCCCGTCTGTGGAGGGACCGACCGGCTCGGAGGGTCTAACGGTCTCTCAGCCCCATCGGTGAAGTCTGGGAGTGGAGGGACACAGAAGGAGGTGAGAGGCGCGGTATCAAGCCTCAGGTTTGTGGCTGGCTCCCCGGGGGGCAGGCTGCCTCCCGGGTGGGCAGCTGCCATGGTAACGGCTCTCCAAGGCCCAGCAGAGCTGGCTGCAGCCTGTGCCCCTCCTACCCCCGGGTCTCAGACGGAGCTCAGTCCCACAGAGGTGACGGCGGCTTGGGAGAGTTACTGCTCAGCGCACGTGCACTAGGAAAACGCAGTCTGCAGACGAGGTTCTGGCCAGGGCCGAGCACGAAACCTTAACAAGGAGGTCCCTGGGACACAGTACTTGCTTTTCCTGCTGGTTCAAGTTGAGGGCTACGCGGAGAGGAACTGGAGAGTCCAGAGGGTAGTAATGAAAATGATTAAAGGACTGATGGTGAAAGGTCCCGGAATGGGGGTCACTTAGCCCGGAGAGGACATCTGGGGGCGACTGACGGCAGTCCTCAGGTGCAGTGCAGGAGGCTGTCCCCAGTATGGTAACCAGCTGTGCCCCAGCTGCGCCGACAGCCGGAGAGGGAAACGGGCCTGGCAAGTCAGCAAGGAGACTGAGGCTAGGCCAGTGGCAGCGACGGTTCTGACTAGCCCGAGGGCTGGAAGGCTGAGCTCGCGATGCCCGAGTCAGAAGGCACGTTTCTGCTACACCAGATACCAGCTCGTATACCGGCGCAACGAAATACAAAGACCTGGGAAGCTGCTCACGCTGGGGAGTCCGCGGGGGCTAAACCTTCCTTCACCACTGGGGCCCCGTGACCGGGACAGCCCAGCTAGAGAACCCACAGGCCGCGAGGACGGACGGGGCCCGCACGTGCAGAGAGCCCACACCTGAGAGCTGGTGCCCACGACGGGGCCGCGGGCTCGGACAGGCTCACTCCTCGGGGTCCCCAAGACTCTTCCCTCTGACCCTGGCCCTACGTCTACACCTGAGGAGGCAGGGCGGCCCGGGCCGTGCGAAGACTTTCGAGGAGACAGAGCGCGCAGCGTTGGCCTGTCCCCGGGAAGACGGCACGGCAGCGGGCGGGCTCCTGACACCGGGTACCGACCGTGCTGGCCTGGCCTGTGCGTTACTCATTACCCACTCCACATTACCAGGGACTGCACTCTCCATAAAGTGACACTTTAAAAAATGTTTTATTACAAAGCTTCTTTTAAAAAAATGCTCAGCACATTAACTCAAACTGGAATGACAAACGTTAGATGACAGTTTTGGGCAAAGACCGTGCCTTGCTGTTTTAAAAAAAAATGGGTACATCAATGCTCATTTTTAACAACTGGCATAAAATCCCACTAATTGGCTAATAAAAACAGATACAAATACAGAACATTTAAAGTAATGACAATTCAAGTGCTGGGCTTTTTACAACAAGGGGGTAAGAAAGACAGAAACGAAAATTCACTGCAAACCAGTCTGCTCAAAGTATCTGGTAAGGTTTACCATTTCGAAAAAGAAAACAAATCAGAAGAAAAGTACAGTGAAGGACTCCAGCTGCAGCCCCCGGGGCGGACCTGGCTCTGACCGGTACTCTGCTCCGTCGAGCACCTCACTCGATGAAGAGGCCACTGCTTGTCAACAGCAATTCACACGGAAGCCGCTCGGGATGGGATAGGCCCCAGAAAAAACTAAAAAAGGCTTCCTTTCCTTTTGTTTTCTAACTTTTTCAGACCTGTGAGATTTTAAAAAGCTCATAGCTAGCAAAATATACAACAAAATTAAAACTAAAAAGTAAATTTAAAAAAAATTCAAGTTTAAAAAAAAGAAGCAAACATAGGTTGATCCTTTGCACTGTTAAATAAAAGCTCGAGGAGAAAGGGAGAGAAAAGGCGAAGACAGACACGAAGGGGACCTCTTCCACGACCTCCTCCCTGGGCCTGCGGATGTGCGCGAGGCAGGCAGCGGCCCGGGACTGTCCTGCCGTAGGGGCCGGTGACGCCGGACGCAGGGAGCACAGCGGGGCGGGGAGAAGCTGTCGGCGGCGGGCCTGCCTGCATCTCACGTGCTTTTGAATTTCCGTTCTAAAACCTCGTTATGCTCTATTTTGGACCGTGGCTCTTGCAGTGGACAAAGAGGGACTGGCAGTGACTGTCTTTGGGGACCTGCAGCTCTGGCGGTGACCGCGGGGTACAAGTTGGTGTCGATGCGCCTTTGGGGTTAACTGGGCGAGCTGTGGAGACAGGCTGGGTTCTCAACAAGCTTCCATCTCCAGAAGAGGTCCTGGGGCCGCTGCCTTGGCTTTGCACGTTGGGAACGAGCTTCTCTTTCCACCTCAGGAAGGAACAAATGAAATGCTATTAATATGAATTTGCCGCAGGCTTCTAGAGAATTACAGCCTCTCGCAAGCAGCCCGCGTCTTTGGCTGTGCGCCGAATGAGTAATGCCCGTTGGTGATGTGGTGATGGTGCTAGAGAATTGCCCCCGGCAGCCCTCGAGTCCATCACAGAGGAAGTGCGTCGCGCGGACCTCCCCACGTGGGCACGCGCAGCTGGGCTGGGAATCAGGCTTAGTGTGTTAGGTCACGGTAAAACAACGGCGTTCGGAAACCAGCGGCAGGAAACGAGCCGACGTGAGTCGGAAAGGCA